GAAATGTGCTTTCATGTGTTTGATGCACTTAGTATTTCCATTTGTCACAATTGTAAGTATTTTGATGAGCATTTTCTGTGGGAATCTCTTGTCTCTGTTTCTGATCGCCTGCAGTTGTTCACTGTTCTCACCTGTAGGCCTGGGGTGGGGACCTTAGATGCGAGGCAGGCCCCTGGGGGTGTGAGGCAGGTCCTTGGAGAGGGGCCTTAGATGGGAGATGAAGTCTGTGAGCAGGGGATGGGGCCTCAGTGGGCAGGGCCTTAGGTGGGAGGCGCAGTCTGTGGATGGGGGCGGGGCTTCAGGGCTGCATCTTAGGAGGTGCAGTCTGTGGGCTTGGGGCCAAGACCCTGTGGTGTCTGGGACCTTAGATAGAGACAGTCTGCATGCCCGGGGGCAGGCCTGGGGTGGGCGGGCCTTGTTGGGGTGGGGACCCCTCGCTGACAGTGTGAGCTGTAGGGGCACTTGGTGCCTGAGACTCACCCAGCAGCGCTGGTTGAGGAAGCTGGGGGTCAGTGTAGACGGGCCTGGGGTGGCCTTGTGCATGTGGCCTGTGTTCCCCAGGACTGTGTGTCCGGGAGCTCCCATCCCCTGGCCTCCCCTCCGCTCACCTCCCCTCACCTCCGCACGGCACCTTCCGCAGTTTTCACTTGGGGTCTCACTGCTCGCTGCCGTCTCCCCCGTGGGGTGCCGCTTCCTGAGCACCAGGTAGGGCCCTTTTCCTGCTGTGCTCAGAGGCCTTGAAACCGCTCCTCGATGAACAAGGTGGGGCCTGCCTCATGCCGGTCACCTGTCGTTTAGTAAATGTTTTTAGTATCTACTGTATACTAAGCTCTCTTGGGGATAAAATGGAGACCACATTTTTCTTTTACTGTACAGCCCAGCACAGGAAAATATGGGTTCAATGAGTAAGTTTCTACCTGACTCAAAGAAGTGAGTTCAAATACAGACGTGGCCACTCAAGAGGACACTGCTGTGAACCTCCTGGCCTTTCTGAAGCCCTGGTGGCCTGGTGGTTCCCGGGGTTGCCGTCTCGTGAATGGGGTTTCTCAGACGTTCTTCTCTTGCTAGGGTCTGTTCTGCTGAAGGGAAGGATGTGGGATGGGGAGTGGGTGGGAAGTCCTCAGACTCTCAGGAGAATCCACCTGCCTGCAACAGACGCAGCGCCTGCCATGCAGTCACCAGTGTGGAACACCACCCAGTGTGTGTGACCCGGTGGCTCCCACCCAAGTCTGACCAGAAGAAGGGGGGAGCTGGTCAGAGCAATTCAGTGCTTTCTTCTTGAGTCATTTGGAAGCAAAGCCTTTTGCAAGAAAACACAGCCTTGCTTCTTGTCACCGTGTGCAAGTATTCTTTGAAACATTGCCTCTCTGTTTTTGCTGTTTGAAAACATCTTCACCTGCGTGCTGACATTTGGCTCCAGATGGGGAAGATTATGGCAAATGCGGTGTCTGCAGGACCGGACTGGTGGGACTCATTGCTCCATAAGGGACATGGAACACATTTCATGGCAAACCTTGTCCTGTCTTTCTGTTTTGTGACATTGTCAGCCAATGTCAATTTAATACAATTCTAGAGTTTCATTTTAAAACTGGTCAAGCCAGGCCACGCCTGTCATCCCAGTAATTTGGGAGGCTGAGGCAGGAGGATCACTGGACCCCAGGAATTTGAGACCAGCCCTAGCTACAGGGTGAGACTCTGTCTCTACAAATATTTATTTATTTATTTATTTATTTATTTATCTATTTTAATTAGCTGGGTGTGGTGGTTGTGAGCTTACAGTTTTAGCTACTGGAGAGGCTGAGGTGGGAGGATTGCTGGAGCCTGGGAGGTTGAGGCTGCAGGGAGCCACCGCTGCACTGCAGCCTGGGCAAGAGACCCTGCCTCAAAAAAGCAAATAGGCAAAAAAACTGGTCAACAGGTTTAATTCATTAATTCCGTAGATTCAAGTGCCTGCTGTGTGGCTGTAGTCAGTGGTAAGCTGCAGCAGTTTCCTGCCACTTGTAATATGGCAATTAAAAATTTTAAGTTTGTGGCTGCTTAGGATCTGGGAGGTGACCTGTTCCTCAGCAAATTTTGACTGATAAATTAATGCCTGGGTCTTCAGCCTAGTTCTTTCCTGGCCAGTGTGACAAGGGTCTGTCCCGTCTTTGGGGGCACATTATAATCATGAGACATCATCTTTCTCCAGTTCAGGGGCAGCTGTGAATCAGGGGTGCTGCCCCAGTAGAGCTATGAACATCCAGCAAAAGACTGTTTTCAAAATATACCAATTAAGTGAAAAGAGCATGAAGTAGACCAGTGTGGGTAGTGTGCTACCATTGTTTAGAAAAGAGGGAAGATAGAGACAATTCACATTTATTTGCCTTCACATGCATAAGGTATCTCTGGAAGGGCACATTAAGAGCTGAAATCTCATGCCTGTAATCCCAGCCCTTTGGGAGGCCAAGGCGGGCGGATCACCTGAGGTCAGGAGTTCGAGACCAGCCTGACCAACATGGAGAAACCCCCATCTCTACTAAAAATGCAAAATTAGCTGGTGCTAATGGTGGTGCATGCCTGTAATCCCAGCTACTCAGGAGGCTGAGCCAGAATTGCCTGAACCCAGGAGGCAGAGGTTGCGGTGAGCCAAGATTGTGCTATTGCACTCCAGCCTAGGCAACAAAGAGAGAAACTCCATCTCAAAAAAAAAATGCTGAAGTCATTGGTTACTTGTGGGGAGGGGGCTGGGTAGCTGGAGATTTCACTAAATAGCTTAATGTTGAGCTATGTGGTTATATAGCCGTATTCAAATCATAAAGAAAAATATAACAGTGTGTGATCCTGATTTTTTAAAAACATACGTGTTAAAGAAGCCTGGAAGAATGTCTTCCTACACATTAGAGTGGCTTTCTTTCTGGTGGGGTGATGTGCACAGTTAGACGTCCGTGTGTGGGGCCCTTGTGAGCGGCCCAGAGATGACTAGGTGTGCTCTGATCTTCTTGTCCTCTGGCAGCACCTTGGGTGTCACACTAGACCTGGACTTCCCTCTTTGTATGTCTTGTACATGTGGGAGGGGGCATCTACATTGAAACTTGCTGGTTTCCCCAGGATGGCTACTCTCCCCAGCTTCTCCGACTACTTCAGGCAACACTATCTTGATTTGGGTGCAAAAGAGAAGAAGAATGCTTTTAAAAAACACAAGAGTATTTTGAGGAAATGACAAAGGACAATAGAAACGCAGTGTCAGAAACATTTGCCCTTCAAGTTTAATTTTGCTTTTTTGTGAAAACCAGCCTGAAGGAGCGGGGGGAGGTTAACTGGGAGGGAACTGAGTCGGGCACTGTGGCAGAGAGTGAGCAGGATAACTGTGAATGGGGCATTCAGTTGTCTGCTTCTATAAAGGGGACGCTACATCTCCCAAGTGGCTTAAAGATTAAAAATAATATATGTGCATCTCATGCCCCAAGCAGCTATGAGAACTTCATCATGGCATGGGCCTTTGCGTGACTGATGGAAATGGCCAAGAGCTTCCCTCCCCTTGGTTTGTTGAAGAACAGCACATGGGTCCAGCCCCTAAGGGTCCTCCCTAGTATGAAAGGACTAGGTGACAAGAAGACACTGTTAAAATTCTCCTCTTCATTATTTTGGACCTTTTGTAAAGGAAAAGCAGACATGAGTCCAACATGCAGGTGATGGCTGCTTCGTGCGTAGACTGAGAAACGGTGCGGCGGTTCCTTGGGGATGGTTCTGAGCCAGAGCTGCACCTTGATCAGCAGAAGCGTGACATCCTAAAGTTTTTAAGTGAATAGTAGCTGACTTGAGTTTAACATGAAACCAGCAGGGGACTATGTGTTCAGTGGTAAGAAGAATGCCTATACAGTTGGAGCACTGGGCCAGAGTCAGGAAATAAGAGTCTCATTTCCAGCTGGAATCAAGTTTATCTGTGGCTTTTGGGCAAGTCTCTCACCCTCTCTGAGCCATCAGTGCAGGGGCTTGGATGGTCACTTTCTTTTTTTTTTTTTGAGGCGGAGTCTTGCTCTGTCGCCCAGGCTGCAGTGCAGTGGCGCGATCTCGGCTCACTGCAAGTTCCACCTCCCGGGTTCACGCCATTCTCCTGCCTCAGCCTCCCAAGTAGCTGGGACTACAGGCGCCCGCCATCACGCCCGGCTTATTTTTTGTGTTTTCAGTAGAGATGGGGTGTCATCATGTTAGCCAGGATGGTCTTGATCTCCTGACCTCGTGATCCGCCTGCCTCGGCCTCCCAAAGTGCTGGGATTACAGTCGTGAGCCATGGCGCCCAGCCTTGTATGGTCACTTTCAATTGGGAAGCTTATGATTTAATTCAGGGCATGAAGACAGATATCCAGCTTTGAAGTACACACAAACATGAGCACTGTTTGTGCCGTCAGTGAGAGAAACTCACATGATCAGGAGGTTTGTCCAGAACATACTGAATCAGGACCCAGGCAATCCGGCAGGCCAAAAGGATTTTGGATTTTTGTTTTAGACAGAAAAAGAGTTTTATACCTTCTACAGTCATTCATGCCCTGATTTGTTAAATGTATGGTAAGTGTTGATAGACCTCTTAGGTATCAAGAAAAGTTTATGTTTGTAATATCTTTTAACCTGGAAGGTAAGACATAATCGTGTTAATGGTGATGAGTTATCCTTCAGTATAGAAGTTGAATGATGAGAATAGACGTATATTGCCAGAGCCCTGTGACTCTGGAAATATCATTCATGTACAGTTTTGGTTTCCGAATTAGAGAAGAAGGACTGAGGACTTTTGTAGTTTGGGGTCAGGGTGGAGACAGGCATGTGAGGGAAGGCAAGTTCTACCCTGTTCAGAGTGCCTGCCCTTTGTCCTCCTTACCCAGCCAGCACTGTTGGGTCCATTGTAACTGGAAAAGCCAGCCCTGCCAGCTGGGTTGGACCAAACCTCGTATCCTGTGCCTCCTCTGTAAGGCCCAGCAGTGATGAGGCACGAGCCTTCCCTGAGTTCTTAACTCTTCGTCTTCTAGGTGGGTGGTGTGCTTGCAGCAGATGCTGGTCCCTTGGAACATCCTGTTTGCCTGCAGCAAAAGCAGAGTCTCCACTGAGTGCCTGCTGGTGCCATCCTCGGGGTTTTCATGTTTCTGAACATGGCTTCTAGTTAGCCTTCAATTGCTGGGTCATGTGGTAACTCAACATTTTAAAGAAATGCCCGACTGTTTACAAAATCATTTGAACCATTTTACATTCCTACCAAAAATGTGTGAGGGTTCAGATTCCTACACGTTCTTATCAGCATATTATCTTTTTTATTACAATCAGCCTGGTGATCCAAAGTAGTAACTCCTATGCTTTTGATTTGCATTTCCCTAGTGACTAAGGAGGTTGAGCATCTTTTCCTGTGTTTTTTGGTCATCTGTGTATCTTTTCTGGAGAATGTCTATTCAAATTATTTGACCATTTTTTAATGGGGTTGTCTTTTATTGTAGAGTTTTAAGAGTTTTCTTTTAATATGCCTTATCAGAGGCACAAGTCCCTTATCAGAGATCAGATTTGCAAATACTTTGTCATTCTGTAGATTACCTTTTTACTTTCTTCATGATGTTCTTTGAAGCACAAATATTTTTAAGTTTAATGAAGTCCATTTTATCTATTTTTTCTTTTGTTATTTATGCTTTTGGCATCATATTTAAGAAATTATTGCCTAACTCCAGTAATGAAAATTTCTGTGTATTTGTCTAATAGTTTTATAATTTTAGCTCACATTTAGTCTGTAATCCAATTTAGTTACTTTTTAGATATGGCATGAGGTAGGAGTCCAGCTTTATTATTTTGCATGTGGATATGCAGTTGTCCCAGCACCATTTGTTGAAAAGACTGTTTTTTCCTCATTGAATTGTCTTAACATTCTTGTTAAAAATAAATTGATTACCAGGTGCAGTAGCCTATGCCTGTAATCCCAGCACTCTGGGAGGCTGAGGCAGGTGGATCGCTTGAGTCCAGGAGTTCGAGACTAGCCTGGGCAATATGGTGAAACACTGTGTCTACAAAAAAATACAAAAATTAGCCAGATGTGGTGGCGTGTGCCTGTAGTCCCAGCTACTTGGGAGGCTAAGGTGAGAGGATTGCTTGAGCCCAGGAGATGGACATTTTAGTGAGCCAAGATCATACCACTGCACTCTAGCCTAGGTGACAGAGCAAAAAAAATGAATAAATAAATAAATTGATGACAAAGGTAAGGTTTTTTTCTGTACTCTCAATTCTATTCCCCTGGTCATTTGTATGTCTGTATGTTAGTTCTATGTGTAACTTTTGAAATTGGGAAGTGTGAGTTCTTCAATTCTGTTTTTCATTTTCAAGATTCTTCTGGATATAGTGAGACCTTTGAATTTAGGATCAGCTTGCTGATTACTACAGAAAATGCAGCTAAGATTCTGATGGGGTTGTACTGAATCTGTAGATCGATTTGGGGAGTATTGCCGTCTTAACAATATTAAGTCTTCCAGCTGGGTGCCATGGCTCATGCCTATAGTCCCGACTCTTTGGGAGGCCAAGAAAGGAGGATCACTTAAGCCTAGGAGTTCGAGACCAGCCTGGGTAACAGAGGAATTACCCCATCTCTACAAAATTTAAAAAAAAAAAAAAAAAAGAATTAGCCAGGTGTGGTGGTGCATGCCTGTAGTTCCAGCGACTCGGCAGGCTGATGCAGGAAGATCACTTAAGCCCAGGAGGTTGAGGCTGCAGTGAGCTGTGATTGCACCACGGTATTCTAGCCTGGGTGACAGAGCAAGACTTCATTTAAAAAAAAAGAAAAAAGAAAAAATTAAGTCTTCTAATCCATGAGCATGAAATGTCTTTTCCATTAATTTAGATCTTCTTTATTTTTTCAACAATATTCTATAGTTTTCAATGTATAAATCTTTCACTTATTTTGTTTATTCCTATTTTATCCTTTGTAATGCTATTGTTAATGGAATTTTCTTAATTTTTAGATTGTTCATCACTACTGTTTAGAAATACAGTTTATTTTTGTGTGTGGGTATTGTATACTAAAACCATGCTGAACTCATTTATTAACTCTAATAAGGTTTTTTTTATGGATTCCTTAGGATTTTCTATATACAAATGCATATCATCTGTGAATGGAGATATTTTAACTTCTTTCATTCCAATCTAATGTCTTTTATTTTCTTGGCTGTCCTGGGTCGAAACTATAGTACAATGTTAAATAGATGATGTAAAAGTAGACATTCTTGTTTTGTTGTTGATCTCAGGGGAAATCATTGTCTTTTAACCATTAAGTATGATGTTGGCTGTGAGTTTTCATGGATATTCTCTGTGTAGGATGAAGAAGTCTCTTTCTATTCCTAGTTTGTTGAGTGTTTTTAATCATAAAAGGGTGTTAGATTTTGTCAAATGCTCTTTTTGTATCTATTGACATGATCATATGGCTTTTGGCCTTTTAATATTGTTTATTACATTGACTGATTTTGGAATGTTAAACCAACCTTGCATTCATGTGATAAATCTCACAGGTCATGGTGTGTGGTCCTTTTTATATGTTGCTAGATATGGTTTGCTAGTATTCTCTTGAGGATTTTTCTATCTCTATTCATAACAGATATTGGACTGTAGTTTTCTTTTCCTGTGATGTCTTTTTCTGGTTTTGATATCAGATGAAAGCTGACCTCATAGCATAAATTGGCAAGTGTTCCCTCTTATTTTTTGGAAGAATTTGTGAAGGTTTGATTTTGATTTTGTGAACACTTTGTGTAATTCGCCAGTGAAACCATCTGGGTCTGGACTTTCTTAGTACAGATTCAGATAATTCAGTCAAACGAGATGATTTAATATCTTGTTACAAATTTATTCAGATTTTCTGCTTCTTTTTGAGTCAGTTTTGGTAGTTTGTGTATTTTTCTAGGAATCAGTCCATTTCATCAAGGTTATCTGATTTGTTGGCATGCAGTTACTCATAGTATTCCTCTATGATCCCTTTTTACAATAAAATTTTATTTTCGAAAAGTTTTAGGAAGCTGAGACAGGCAGATCACTGAAGGTCAGGAGTTCAAGACCAGCCTGGACAACATGGTGAAATCCCATCTCTACTAAAAGTACAAAAATTAGCCGGACATGGTGGTGTGCACCTGTAATCCCAGCTATTTGGGAGGTTGAGGCAGGAGAATCACTGGAACCCAGGAGGTGGAGGTTGCAGTGAGCCAAGATTATACCACTACACTCCAGCCTGGGGACAAG